TGTGCAGGGGGGCAGACCACATGACCTTGTGGTCCCTTTCAGGCCCTATGATTCTGTCACCCAGTGAGGTTCCCAGGGGTGGTGCGGGGTCCCTGCTCCCAGTCTGTTAATTCATTTTGCATCAGAGTAATTGGATACAATGAACAGTGTTGGGATTCCCCGGAGCTTGCTGTGTCTTTTGGGTGGGGTGAGGGATCTAGCCTGGGAGCTCGTTTGGGCATGTGGTTAGAAACATGGTGCACTTTAACCATACAAGTGCAGTGGGATGCTAGGCTTCAATGAACCTTTGACCTTTTCTTACTTTTTATATTCTCTTTGCAGAGGCATTGGAAGGCGCTTAATCCTCGTGCCTTGTTGTTCACAACATATTTTATGAGGGAAGCGCTGGGTACTGGCAGCTCTGAGTGAAGTCAATAGGAGGCCTGGGTATGTTCAGCACCTCTGAAACTGGGCTCTTTCAGTCCATCAAAGCACTTCAGCATGCAGTTAACTTGAAGCCTGTGAACAATCCCATTGACTTCAGGGAAAAGTGTGGCACATGCTGAAGTCCTTTGCTGATCTGGGGTCTTAGGTGTTTGGGTTTCTGAACCACCTTCCCTGTAATATCCCATAGATGGCATCAGTTTATCACATATCTTTTAATGATCCATTTTTGTCGGAGGAAGAGATAAAGAAACAGTTTCAACTCTGCTGTCTGATGGATTCCAAACCAAATCAATTTAAATAAATGAGAATTCATTGAAACCAATTTCTCCTAAAACTCTTTAAAACAATGTTTTAAATGTTATCCATGTATTAGATGATTTTATCATTATGATATTTCATGGAATCTAGGTCACTTCATACAGCCATTAAGTATTGTATGAAAACAGTATCTTCTGTTGTTAGACTCTACCAGTCTTAGTCACAATGTCCAGGTCTATATGAAGCACCGACTGTGCAGCAGCTTGTTACTACTATGCAGTAGCGTTGCATGGCAGGAAGCATGATGTGATGCCACTGCACAATAGTCAAGAGCTACTGCCCAGTCAGTGTCACCTAAAAGCTGTTGGGCAACGCTACTGCACAGCAACTCCGGTTTACTCCGGTTGATTATACAAGTACTAAATAAATGTGCAGTAACCACTGAACAATAGTGTCTTGTGTAGATGAGTCCAATGAAGAGTATCCTTCATCCTTGAATAGCCCATCAAAGCCAATGGGTCATTCCTGAAGTAAAAGACAACTCATCATGAATGACGGCGTCGGAATCTAACCTGTGCTGGCAAGATCATTTTCCCAGTGGGAATGATATTTCCATGTGTAAACAGCATTTGGTCTTAATTGAGAGGTCCGTTACACATCTGTATTAACTAAATTCCTTGTGTCTTAAAAGACAAAACAACAAATGCACTAGACAGTAATACAATCGCCTGCCCTGGAAATTTTCAAGAGGAGACTGGACAGTCACCTTGCTGGGGTCAACTGAACCCAGTTGTCTTTCCTGCCTGATGCAGGGGGCTGGACCCGATGATCTTCTGAGGTCCCTTCCAGCTTTACAATCTATGAATCATATCCTATAATGACAAATTCTGTGCTCCAGAAGTCTCATCTGCTCTTTTATACTTTGCCATTATAAAACAGGAAACAAAAGGACGCAGGTATGGCATGTACATGGAAACAAAGGTTTTCAGTATGTTTAGGGTACAACGTTGTGATATAGGGACCTATATTCCATTTTCAAAAGCCACCCAGGTGCTAAGAACCTAAGTTCCACTGAAAGCCAATGGGATTTAGGTTCTTTTCACTTTGGCACTTTTGACAACATCTCTTTTTTCTATAAAGAACCACATCAGGGAATCACATTTCTGTGTGGGGCTAATGTGATAGAAGGAATGGGAAATAAAGTTAATTCTCACTTTGCTAAGTTCGATTTAGAGCAAGGGTTCTTTTTTGTGAATGGTACATTAGAAGTTTAATGTCTATAAAAAACATGGTTTATACCTGCATTGCCTAAGTCTGTTATATCTTCTGCTGGAAGTCTGCAATGTCTAAAGGAAAAGGTAAAGGTACACCTCTGCTTGAGAAAAACATGGTTTAAACCTATTCTTCACTATATGTTATATATCTTCCTGTCTACTTGATATACACACAGTGAAGCTGGCCACTGTCGCCAGTCAGGGGACCTCAGGCCTCATCCTAGGACCACTGAAATCAGTTGGAGTCTTTCCATGGGCTTGAGTGAGTTTTGAATCAAGTCCTTAATTTTTTGGCATGAACTAGATAGGCCTATGCACTAAAGCAGCGTTTCTCAACCCATGGGTTGTGACCCAAAAGTGGGTCCAAAAATATATGAAAGGGTCACAAACAAATTTAAAAAATGGATCAACACACTTTAAAAACAGATTCTCCTTTAAAGGAGCAAAACATGGGAAACCGTGGCTTTTCCCTTGCAGGCTGGCAGAGCTCCAGCCCACCAGGGGCTGCTTGGGGGGGCCCCTGTGCCGCACACATCCTCCCTGCTGCTCTACACCCTGGAGCGCTGGGGCCCGGGGGCAGCAGGTCAGGAGTGAGGGGCAGTGAGTCAAGACTGGCCATTGATCAGGACAAATGGGTCCTGGTACAAAAAAGGTTGAGAACCATTGTGCTAAAGTACCAAGCTCAGGCCCCATCGAAACCAAGGATGACATCCTATGTTGTGTGTCTCTTTTCTCATGATTGACCATAATGGGGAGGGTGAAGGATTCCTTTTAATTCTCTTCCAGCTGGCTTGGTCTTGGAGCGTGTTTATACACATGATCCAGGAGGTGTGTGTGCGCGCAGCGAGGGAGAGGTAAGGGGGCGAAGTGTGCTTTAGAGGGACTCTGAGAGCCACTTCAGTTAAAGTGCCTGGAGTGTCACATGTATCAGCATCCCCATGCTGAAAAATGGTGGGAGGTGGGGGGGTAACTAAAGCTTGTTGAATAAGCTTCAGCAAAAGCACACCAACTGCCATTTTTCAGCATGGGACCACTGATACACATGATACTGGAGTCTGCTAAAGCATGGCAATTACCATGCTCCACCAGACTTTATTAATCGAGTCTGCTCTGACACACTAATTACAACATGTTGGAGCAGTCTCAATGCACATGTATAGGTTCCTGGAGATACCAAGCTTGACTAGATTACACCAGAATCAGAGCACAGGATGAGAAGAGGCCTCCACAGTTTCCTGTGTTCCTAAGCTATTGTTAACTGAAGGAATCCTACAAGCCCATAAACTATCACCCACATCTACAAGACACAGTACCCGAAACACAGGACACCCTATAACATGCCACACCTAAATAATCTCGCACTCAGTATTGCCTCACCATGGGGGCCTCGATCTGCCACTCCCTGCCCCTTCCCCTTCACAGATTTACCAGCTTGGCTCTCTACACGTGCCAGAAGAAAAAATCCTGAGATTTAATCTATCAGGAGATCATGAGTCAGAGTTAATTTGACTTGGAAATCAGAAGTCTCGTGATTTTTTTCATAAGAGTTGGCATTACAGCACCCTATTGTTTTTGCTTCAAAGGTATAAGAGGGCGGAAAAAGAAATGAAGACAGCTGAGTCATTCTAAGAAGAAAGCATGCATTTTTCTTTCTGGTGCAAACCAGTTGACTTGAGTGTCACTTTCAGAGTTCACTTGCTCCTTGAAGGCACAATGAACCAAAGGACAGCAGCTGATTACACAACCTCTCCAGTCCCTAATAATCATGTGCATCCAGCAGGAGGAATTGTCTCTCCACCTTGCAGACAAGACATGCTAACAGTGTAATAGTTTTAATTTGTCCTTGTCCACACTGACCACTGAGTCATGTTGACTGACATGACTCCCTGGCATTGTATTCTGGCACTGCGAATGAAGGCAAAGCCGTAGCCCTTTGGGACTGGGACTCATTTGCTAAATGTTGGCATAGAACCTGGCACAACTGTGCTCCAACATGGTTTAACTTCAGGTGCTACCACAAAATAAATAACAACTTGCCTCTGACTATTTTTCATCTTCTGATCTAATATGAAAGGATGCCTGTTCATTGAGCCACCCCCTCCTTCTGCCAAAGTTAATGGCAAGTTTAGCTTGCAAATGCTTCTTATAGCGATTTTGCCATTAGTCTGGAAATGTAATGAAGCTGCTGTAACAAAAAGGATGTTCCCCTCCACTACTTTAGTTCAAAATCTATTGTAAAGCCAGACTTCACCATATAGGTTTTCCCTGCATCCTCCACAGAAAAACAGTACTTTATAGCAGGTATAGCTCTGTGACTGATGTACCGCTCACCTTGGTGTTTGAGCAGCAACATCATTATGTTAAATGACATTCAGTCTCTGTCAATCTGAGTAACTGGTTTGTGTATCTGCGTCTGTAATCCATGGGGTTGTGACAGTGCCCACTGATTGCATCCAGAGGCTGTGTCAGCTGCTATCATTTCACTCAACCCGTGTGAGTGACCTTCAGATAGACAGTCCTATGACTAATCTATTCCAGAAACATGCTGATGGACTTCCTG